CAGTGGGTGGAGTTCCGTCATACGCATATTGCCAAAGTTAGCACGGAGATTGGCAAGCGCATGACTGCGTTATCAGCGTCGAATGCGGGTACGTCACTGGGCCGAGGCAAAAGCACAGATTTGCAGGCTATGGCTGCTGGACTGCGCGAGTTGCCCGAGTACCGAGAAATGCTGGGCAAATTATCACAGCATTTGTTCTTGGCTGGTAAAGCCATGGATATCTTCACTTCCACGGGTCTACTAGAGGCTTCCAACATTGAACAAACTCTGGCCACGGGTGTTGAAGAGTCTGGGAAGAAGTTGAAGCACTCTGCGGTTGCAAAACAGCTCGAAGATTTGTTTAAAGACCCGAAACTAACAGAGAACGATCGATTCCGAGTTGCAGTAGTATTTGCACTGACTCAGGATACGATGAAGGAAGCAGAGCGCAATAAGGTCATGCAAGCCGCGAAGCTTTCCAAAAAGCATGAGACCATTCTCGAAAATATGGTATTGGTAGCTGGATCCGAGCTGTACAAACAGAATGGCAACTCGCTAATCTCGAGTGAGGATTTGAAACTGGCCACGAAGAAGGCTGAGGTGGTGGAGTACTCGAACGCGCGTTATGACCCCAAAATCAAGGCAATCGTGGCTAGTGCGTTGAAGCGTACTTTGAGTGAGTCCGAGTACCCATATATTATCACGCCGCCACCACAGAGTCCCACTGCCAGTGACTCGAAGAAGCCTGGACCGGTTTCTTTGCGAAAGTACGTATGGCATTGATGCCTCGTTAGCTATTTTATATCAAACTTAATTTTGTTTGTCGCAGGAAAATGGCTGGAAAAGGCAAAGCTCAGGAAGCCGCAGTGGTAACTTGATAAGTTTAACTGAGTGAAATCCATCCTCAAGCACACTAACGTACTGTGACGATTTGCCCAGGAGAGTGAGCAGTTTTCGGGTGAGAAAATGATTGTCTTCATGAGCGGTGGCGCGACCTATTCAGAGGTAAAATTCCGTTCTTTATTATATTGGGGATCACTGCGTTGACTTGTGCTATCCTGTGTCCAAAGCTTCGTAGCATCTACGAGGTTCGTAGTGAAGAGAAGCGCGACGTATTTCTTGGAACGACGTCGTTCGTGGCTCCTCCGGCGTTCATCGAGTCTCTCGCAACACTCAAAGATACTAACCCACCGCTACCATCTCACCCCGTCAGGTTCGTCTATCATTCCGCTGCACTATAACTACTGCAGTGCTCACAATTGTCGACGTTTCCTCTGCAGTGGCCAAGGAGCCGAAGTGATGCATTTGACAAGCGGCGAAATTCACCTTCAAGTTGAAGCGCAGCTGGCAAAGCCGGCGCCGGTGCAGTAATTGGATCGACAGTCCATCGTCCAGCCACCATTGCACTCATAGCTGCATCGACATGAACTGATACTTACATGGACTAAGTTTCTACCAAAGTGAACGATGGTTGCAGGACAAATATATCGCAGGTTGCATCGCCCACTATCCTTCCCTGTCATTGAGCAAAACTCCCTCTTATTGTCCAATCACATCAATTCTTCATTTTCACCTCCACTTTGTATACTCACATTGCTTGCAGTCGAAAAGCTCACATCTCATTTCATCAGATCCCCCACATCCCTCGTATATCCATGCGTGTTACTCGTTGGGCACTGCTCGTCGCGGCGCTGGCCGTTTCCGTGTACGCCAAAGATGCTGCCCCAGTCAAAAACGACGGAGAGTGCGTAGCGCCATCCGTCGTGGAGAATTTTGAGTCGAAGATCGCAGGCTTGAAGCAATCCAACTCCGAGCTGCAACTCCAAGTCGATGCCTATGGCAAGGAGAAGACGAAGCTGCTGTCTGGTGTAGCCAAGGAGCATGAAGCAGTCGTGTTGAAGCTGCAGGACGAGATTGCAGCGCTCGAAAAGGACGTGGCCATCGAAAAAAAGGCCGTGGAAAAGTCCGACGCTGAGCTCAAGAGCGCACTGGACAAGCTGGCCACAGAGCGAACTGCAGTTGCTGAGAGAGACGCCGAACT